CAGCCATTCCAAAGCCTCGCGAGGGTATAGGGTTGAGGGTATAGGGTGCAAGATTGAAGGTAGGTCCCAAACCCTACTTATAGGTTACCGCCCTTTGATTATGGGATCGGATGACCCTCTTGAACAGTACATCATGAGAACCTGTTTTTGGTAGGCTTCGGCATGTAATTGCCCTGACTTAAAGCCATGAACCGTGCTCAGTCAGCGCCGGTGGCAGCCGGGGTGCTGGCGTTTGTACAGACTGGCGCAAACAGCAGGTGTGGCAGCCAAAGTCATTGTAGTGATGTGAGGCTTAGCGCTGAGGGTTTAGGGCTTAGAGAACGTAACCTGGAGTATTGCTATTCTTCTTCTTGTTTGCAGACCTGGTCGAACCAAGTGTATACACAAGCAAGTATGCCTATTAATTACACACACGTATGTGACTACACATATTGTTAATGAAGGAAGTAATGACACATACGTACCATCGAGTTCGACACTTGTCGTCCTTCGCGTGCGGTGGCTGTTGAATGTCGGCAGGAAGAATGCAAAATAGTGTCGCCTCCTGTGCACGAATACAAATAGCACTGTAGCGCTACATAGTGTTGCAGCGCTGCTTGTACTTGTAATGCACAAATGGTACGGCGTCACCGTAATTACTGAAGTCAGTATACCCATAAGCGCCATAGTAGTTCCCTTATGGGTTCATATGTAGAACCCGATAAGGTAATCCAGAAAGGAACTACAATGGGGCCTATGGGTAAAAACTCCACATCCGTGACCCTGCCGTTGGTCTTCGTGGACCACCTTGAGGTCAAAAGTGATTCAAGCCGTGACGGTGGTACTTTGCGGTTTAAGATTTAGGGTTGTTAGGGCTTAGTGATTTTGGGTTTAGGGGTTTAGGGTTTCGCGCATATGAGAATGCCAACACACTACCAGGAAAGTGCCGATGCACTGCAGCACCCGAAGTCACACCCCTAAGCCACGAGAAGCCATGCTTCACAGAAACATACAATGGCCTTGACTCGTAGGTCCGGGGTTTAGTAAGGAACCAGCCCCGAACCCCAAGACCTCAGGCAAACACGCTTACAGACACTTGTAGACTTGTTGCCCAATTACTAGATGACGGAAACACATCTCTGATGGTAAGCCCAATTTCACAGGCCTGATTTGGCCTTGCTACCGGCAGTGAGAAATACCCTAAACCAAGCTATGTGCAATAACCTTGGCAGTGTAGATTGTAGAGAACAAGAGAGAAAGAGAGAGAGAGAGAGAGAGAGAGAGACAGACGGAGAGAGAGGAACAATTGGGTGAGTATGTATGAATGTGTGTATTTGTACATACATTTGGACATAAATACGCATTATGTTCATTTGTGACTAGGTACCTCTACTACCGCCACGTAGAAATTGCCGCTTCGGGGTGACTCTGACCGTCATTTGACGGGTTTAGGGTTTAGGTTTTCGGATGACAAGTTGCTGACTTGGAAGCTGCAGAAGAAGGGATAGGACTGGGCCCAATTCAAGGGTCGGAGTAATCGTTGACGTCTGCCCATTTAATCCTGGTGTGAATATAGTCTAGTAGAATACACAATCTAATCCTTCAGGCCTCTACACAGTCGTGACTTTGGCAAGTCGGAACAGGCCACCAATCGTGGCTTCCAAAGGTGCTCCGCGTTCCCCACGCCTGATGCTGCAGCCTCTACTCCCCGCTCACGAGGTGATGGAAACAGTGAGCGGTCCGATGCAAGCCCAACCTGTACAGGGAACTCCAGAAAGTTGGAATATGGTTTCAGGGTAGGATACCCTATAATTTACCATAAAGTAATAAGAAAGGGGCACAATCGTGCGACTAGGGTTGGATAGCGTGACTGCGTGAGTGTTCAGACCCCAAAGACTTTGGGCAGCCTTTGTGTCCCTCATTCTTTCTGGGGTTCGCCGATTTGGACCTTCGAAAACGATGAAGGGCTTGGTACTACTTTAAGGAGTCTGAAACAGCATTTCCCAAGCTTACGGGGTAACTTACGCGTAGAACCTTTGCAAGGCTTTTGGACCTATGGGGCTTCGGCAATGTAGGGCATAATGCGAAATGGTTCGCATGTCTCCCTGACGCTACTGCACCGTAAACCCCTGAACTGCTGGTCCCCCAAGTTCTGCAGTCTACATCGGTAAGTTCTGAACATACTCTTTGTTCGTGCTTGTGCAAATACTCCAACGATGCATATGTCGTTCCGTGTTCAGATCTTTGGCGGCAGACATCCCCCCAAAAACCTGCACAGTAAAACCGAGGGAAAGCTAAAGGCCCATCAGAGCCTTAATGAGCCTTACAAAGGCCCCAGTTCCTGCCTACGGAAACCTCTGTAACAGCTGTTGAAATGCCACAAGAGCTCTGACTATCCTTTTGCACAGACTCTCATATGCCCCGCCTAGATCTCGGAGCCGCTAGAACCCAAGATCTAAACTCTAAACCCTAAAAGCTGCATCCCAAATTTCAAATTCGGAATCCTAGGTGTCTGCCAAGAGGCCGGCTCTCATTTGATTCTGTGCACCTCAGAGTTGCTTCGGGCTTAGGACGTAAGCCTCCGGGCGGGTTTAGGGATTCTTTTGTTGTCCGTTCTCAGGTCCATCGTGTTCCTCGCGCGTCCATCGTCAAAGTCAGCGTCTATGACTAGTCGCTGGCTCGGGTCGTTTGGAGTGTAAAGAGTAGAACAAGTCTGTATGTTCAAAGTGCTTGTTATCACAGGACTTTGTACGTAAGGTTAGAGGTACCTTAATTGGGGCTAGCAGTAAGTGCAAGTATAGCTCCTTATTAAGAACTTTACCTACGAAGCCCTATGATCCTCCAAGTATCATCCCGGAGGTGCTTCGGCCCTGACTCAAGAAGAGAGGATTTAATAGCGCTGCGCCCCCAATTCGTCTGCCTTGCAATCTACGTCTCCTGACCTAAGGCTGTAATGGCTCAACAGCTCCCAAAACCCTAAATCCCGACACCTGCATAGAACGCGTGTAATACAGGGGCCTTAATCATTAGAATAGGGTTTTGGGGCCCATTATACTATAATTATAATAAGGAGCCCTCAAAATAGTATTGGTAATTATTCAGGCTCCTATAGTAAAATGCTTCTACCGGGTTTCACAGTGTAAAACCCTGTAGGATCGCTTTTGGAACCCTTCCGTAAACGCCATTAAATGGCCCCCTGAGCATTTGGGTTTAGGGTTTAGGGTTTGGGGTTTGGGGTTTAGGGTTTAGGGTTTAGGGTTATGTGGGCCGGGTCTCCTAACCCAGATGCGTGATCAAGAAAGGAGGAAGATGAACAAACCCGCGAGGCCCCGACATCCGAAGAGCCACGCTTCGAAAAGGTCTGTACAGTTTGATTCCAGTGTTTTCTATAAGACTCATAAAGGGTTTAGGGTTTAGGGTAATATAGTGTTTGTTTAGGGTTTTCTGGCCAAGATGCTGAATTCTGGCCTGCTGGAGGCTCGTGTCAAGTTGCCTTCGGGCGGTATCCAAGTCCAGTTTGCGAGCCATACAGACGTCTCGAAACCTAAGCTTTCCCTGACTTTCCTGACTAAGCTACCCTAAACGCGAAACTAGCCTACACCCTGAACTGGTAGGTTGTGGGTCGGAATGCTAGGAGCTGCTCCCCAGGTTCCTGGTCCTCTGGGAAATCTGCAACCCGTCTTTCTGACACACTTATCGCTTGGAGATTTTCCTTTTCTTAACGGAGTGCCAGGGAATGGAACTGTAAGCCTAATGATGGCAAAATGACTACTCAGGGTTTAGGGATTTCGGGCACCAGACTGAGTGATGTCGGACCGACTTTCAAATTTGGGTTTCAGGGTTTCGACTATCGCGCTTGGCATACCATTAGGGCCCATGCAGGTCTTGAGGACTTGAAAACTAAACCTCACTCTGAATCTGCACAACCTTCCAAAACCCCAGCAGCTAACATATTACACCACATGGAAACAAAGCTCCTCCCTGAACCCTGGCAAACTACCGTAAGCCTTTGTAAGAACACATGGAAATATGTGTCGTAATGTCCGTTGCACCCATGACCCTCAGAATATGTCCCTACAGATACCAGTACCCCTTAATTAAGGAGTATACCTTAAACCATATAATATTATATAAGGCCCCGATACTCTCAGGTATACTCCCTAATTGAGGGATATGGGGATCTCTGAGTCAGTTTGCAACTCCAGGACTGCTCAATTAGAATTTCGACAGGGGTATCCCATTCCAACACCGAAACTTATCTTGGGTTACTAGGGAATGGAGGAATGGGGTTACAGGTTTAGGGTGTAGGGTACAATTATAGCTACTATTACTACCACTCCCTTCCCTGCTAACCAAAGGTAACCAGGTAAGGAAACTCATCAACAAACAATCCTTTGGGCAGCTCGTTTCAACCCTGGCAAGCAACAGAGGTCGGGCCTTACGGCTGTGGCGGCGGCAGAACATCTCGATCCGGTCCCAGGCCTCACTTGCAAAGTTTCAGGCTTGTTGGCTTAAGGTGATGAGGTTGCTGTGCCTGGCTCCATTGTCAACCGCACCTAATCGCTTTAAAGGATAATGTGAAACGTTTCCAGGTTTTCGCAGGATTTCGAAAACTGTTCCCACAGAGAAGTCCGCGGGCGAATACCTTGCTTGTCCAGCTGGTTTCATTAGTCCGTCCTCAACGACGGAAACTCTGAAGCCTGCTGTCGGTCCCACAGAGCTGTATTGAGCACGAAGCTGATGCCGGAATAAGGGGTAGTACTTGGTTGGCTGCCGGACCGCACCGAAAAATGAACGTGGATTTGAGATGCAAGAGAGAATGCATATCCCCTTATCTCTAAGCAGTAGTAGTAGTAGTAGTAGTAGTAGTAGTAGTAGTAGTAGTAGTAGTAGTAGTAGTAGTAGTAGTAGTAGTAGTAGTAGTAGTAGTAGTAGTAGTAGCTATGCCCTAACATATTCCGAAGTTCTGTTCGAATGATTACGGCGATTACGGCCCCCGTGTTATACACAGTAGTTCCTCCCTAGCTGGCCTCCTCCAGCACCTTCTCAGGCGCTGCGAAGACCACGCCTTGCGTCGCAAGTGACTTCAGGAAAGCTTTGCGGTTTGGGGTTTAGGGTTCGGGGGTTTAGGGTTTTTCCTCCTATGCATACTTGGTTGAACAGAGCTGGCTGTTTGGACATTGAAGCCAGGGTTTAGGGTTTGGTATTTAGGGTTAGGGCCCAAATGAGCCTATGATAGGGCTTGAGTGGTGCCAGGGTTCCCAAAAGGCGCTTGAAACTGTCTGAAACTGTCTGGTAGCTAATGTCCACAGGCCAACGACCCGAGGTTCAGGAATATTTGTGTATTATGTTACATATATATATATATATATGTGCGGCTGTATGTCTGTATGTGTGTGTGTGTGTGCACGCGCGTATAGCCTAGCTTACTCATACCAAGAAGTCCAAACAACAACGATGAGTATTGGGCTCTGTGGATGCTTCCGAGCGTCATTTCCCAACTGCCGTGTCCTCTGGTCTCCAGTAATGATCTTCCCCTCCCATTACAAAGACAACAAAAAGCGCCCGAACCCCAAACCTTTCAAGCCTCACGCTAAACTCGCGATCTTCGCGCAGAAAAGCGGCGGAAGTACCCAGGAGCCGCAAAACATTGGCCAGGCAAGATGGCGACGGACCTGGGGGGTTAAGTGCTGGGCTCTTGTGAGGCACTTCTAAGATTCTAGGCTTTCTGACTTCAGAATTTCGAACTTTCTTCTTCAAAGGAGGAGCCAACAACCTTGAATAATGCGTCTTATATTATGATAGGTAAATCAGAAACCTGTACACTAAAGCCTAGAACTGACTAACAATAAACTTAACCTTAACCCTGAACTACAACCTAAATCCCAGGAATCCCAAAAAGAAACCCTAAACAAACACCAAGGAACTCCTCTTCCAGGAGCTTGCTTGCGAGCAGGACATCATCTGTGCCGAGGTCCAGGGCGTTCGGCTTCAAACGCACCATCAAATACCTCGGTTCACGTAGGCGTAGGCGTGGGGGTGTCCTTTTTATACGGGTGCTTTACGATTCTTGTGACCTCAAAAGACCCTAGTTTAGGGAACTACCCATGTAGGTATAGGGTTCCTTTCAGCGCTTCATATAAAGTTTTTTAGAGATTTGACGGCCTTGGACAGTCCGAAAACGATCCCACACCCGGGTCGAAAACACAACAACGCTCCGAACATACCCTTCAAAACTTCAATCTTTAAACCACCCATAACCCGCCCCCCTCCTCCCTCCCCGACAAACCCGCCAACAACGAATGTTGAAGTGCCAGAGCCTGTAGGGCCGAGGCTTCTCATCCCTCAAACGGAGGCCTAGGGAAACTTAGAAAGCCTTGACAACAAAAGCGGTCTTGGGCACCGACCTGTCAAAGCGATCTTGAACTCACAACAACGGATGCAGCCGTGGGCTAGACTCGGTTAGACCCCCCAACCCCTAAAAAGCCCTCAAAACTCTAAATCGCTCAACCCTAAACCCTAATTACTAAACCCCTTCAACCCGATAAACCCTAAAATCCTGAACCCCCAAAAACCCTAAACAGCAAACCCCTAAACCCTACGAAACCCTAAACCCCTACACCTTACAACCCCAAATCCTCAACCGTAAAAAACGCTAAAAGGTAAACCCCTGAACCCTAAACCCTCAAGCCCTAAACCCCTGAAGACCTAAAACCCTCAACCCCTAAAAACCATTTTGCACCCAGAAACCCCTCAGAAACCCCTACACCTTACAAATCCTAAAAAAACCCTAGTTACACCTTCAAAGGCTAAAACCCCTACACCTTAAAACCCCAAAAAACCTTCAACCGCCTTGGGCTCCGCCTCCGAGCGGCATCGCGCCCTGGGCCTCCGAAGCGACCTCGCGGCTCCCACAGAAAGCTATACTCAACTTAGAACCCTAGCAAAAATACAATTTTAGCTGTTTCTTAGGGGTTATAATAACAAGAAAATAAAAATTATTTCTAAGTACCGCTAAGGAAGGGCCGCGGTTCAGGGCTTCGGGATTCGGGGGTGGGGGGGGGGGGGGGGGGGGGGCGAGGGGGTATAAATGGGGTATAGGGGTTTAGGTTTGAGGTTTTGGGGTTTGGCCGTTTGGGCTTCTGGTGGTTTGGGCTTGTCCTTACATTTTGTGCTTGTGGTTTAGATTGTAAACCTATTAAAACCTCTTTGGATGTGATGTTTATAATTCAGGCTTCAAGAGAGTGTGGGGGCAATGGGTGTAGCACCTCACAGCTGCCTTTAAGAGTTGACGCTTCGACTGTGTGACTTCAGGATTTTTAGGGCCTGTATGTGTGTTGCGTTCACTGGTGCTTCTGTCATTTTCTCTGACCGCCTCTGAACGAAATGCTTAGTACCAAGCCATCCAAACAAACACAAACTGTTTCAAGGGCTTCGTGATTAGGGTAAACGCCCATGGAACTAGGCACTATGTAAGGGAGATAAGGGATGTAATCTACTCCAACTGTACACATACAGATTTAGGCCTAAACCCCAAGCTTAGCTCGCGCGTGCCCACACCTCCAGTCCGGGAATTGATCGGCACCTCCGCATGCAGCATTGAGCTGACTCCTTCGATATCCAAAACGCCGGGTTAAGGGTCTAGGGTTCAAATTTTAAGGCTTACTGGGGGCCTCTGGAAGGAGTAGGGTGTTGGATTCAGCCACGAGCGACTTTTACTTCCGTGCTGGGAGAGGTAGGGGCTAGAAAGACAGTTCGCGGAAAGAGAGAGCGAGCGAGAGAGAGAGAGAGAGAGAGAGCGAGAGAGAGAGAGAGAGAGGGAGAGAGAGAGAGGGAGAGAGCAAGCAAGAGAGAGAAGAACACATAATTGTGTGTGTGTATATATGTATGATATATATATATATATATATATATATATGTATAGGCATATGTGCTATGTGTATTTGTATTGATCTACATCCACACATGGGTGTGTAAGAGTGTCTACATGTAAGTGCGTACGTATGTATGTATGCACGTATGTATGCTGTATTGACGTATGTATGTATGCATACACATTTATATATATATATATATATATATATATATACACACACATACACATACACATACAGCGACATGTAGAAACACCATATGGATGGTTAAACATAAATGCAGTTTGCTCTCTCTCTCTCTCTCTTTGGGGGGTGACCCCGTATATATATATATATACATATGTGTGTGTATTCGTTAATGTGTCAACAAGTACAGTACATATGTTCGCAACATATCAGGTGCCCCAAACCCATTGTTAGGCACCTGGAGCTCTAAGGAAACCTAAACTTGACTAGACCTGGACACTCAGTCACTCAAATACGCTGACAACCTAAACCCCGGCGCCGCCCTCAGGAAACCGTCATGCAGAGCTTCTCAAGACCCAAGCCCTTGAAGATCAAACTTCTCAAACTACGACAACACCAAAACAAGCTGCCTAGGCGTCCAAAACAGAATTTCAGCCCCAAAGTCTTCACCCTTCTCCCTTGAGTTGAAGCCGATGGGTAGTTCTATGCCCTCAGCCGGAAAGTCCTGAAACCCCGGAGGTGGAAATCCCGAAGCCCTTCCGCCCGAACCCGCAGCAACCCCTGATCCCCAAAACGCTATTTCCGAAACCCCAAAGCCTCTACCATCCCAAACGACTACAAATTCAACAAAACCTTCAACCCGAAACGTCCAAAACCCTATCAGAAAAAAACCCAAAACCCCAAAAGCCATAATCTGACGGTTCCGCACGGAATAAGATTCGTAAATGTTCCGACCCCTACACTAGTGTGACTTAGAAGGGGCCCCCACCCTGTAATAGAGGTAAAATAGGAATATGATAGGGCCCTAGTATAATCCTAAAAGTCACTATTACAGGGTGGGGGCAGCTTCTAAAGTGTGACCCCGATCTCCCTAAACCCTAACATACTAAAAGCCCGCAACCCCTATAGAACCCTCTATAAACCCTTGTAAAGATCCCTTCGAGATCTCGAAAAGAAAGCCCCAAGCCGTGAAAAAACAACAAAAGCTTCAGGCCTCAGCACACCTGGTACTGGGCCCTTTCAGATCTGTAAAGAACCCTTGAAGGAAGCCTAAGCCCAACAGAAGCTTCAGGCCTCGAGAGCTTTCAGCACGCCGCTGTGCCAGTCACAGCCGTTGGGTGCGGAAGCGAAGATCTCGGGAATGGCTCCCTGGCGCGGGGAGTTCACAGGTTTAGGAGCCTAAAAACCAAATAATGCTGTTCCAGCTATGTTTTGCGCTGTAGATATATGGGGAATGTCAGGGTTTAGGGAAATGGAGTTCGGGTATCTCAAGGGGTACTCTATGAGTTGCTTCCTTTTAAAGGGATCTCTATGGATTGCTAAAGGGGTTCCTTGTGAAGCGCTCAGTGTTGCTATAGGGGTTAGTACAGGAGTCATACTATACGCTGGGTTCGAAGATTTACCCTAGAGGGGTGGAAAGTGCGTAGCACAGTTTCGTGACCTGAGCAGTAAAACACGTCCTTACGCGACTGGAGACGCCCATAGCATAACCCCTCAACCCTTGCAAACCCTTACCCCCCAAAGCCTGAAACCCAAAACCCTAAAGCCCTGAGAAGAGCAAAGCACAACCCGATGCGCCGCCTGGATGGGAGCGGAGGGTCCGAGCGACACCTTCACTGCGGCTCGGGTTTAGGGTGCCTAGATCGGGTTTAGGGTGCCTGCAGATGTGGGCACAAGGTTCGTACCATCGCATAGAGGATTTTGGGGTTTACGGTTTTTTGGGATTTTTTAGTGGTGGTTCAGCGCTTAGCTTGTAGAGGCTACGGCTTGAGGGGTTGGAGGTTTTGGGCTTCGCGGTGTTCTGCTAAATTTGCGTGTGTGTGTGCTGCTGCATGTACTATAGCTTTGGGCAGCGATGTTCGAAGGTCAAAGAAAGGTTGTCGTTCCACTGGTCGGGTTTTTGAGGGCCCTAACTGATTAAACCCAAACACTAGCAATCACACCCATAATTCATTACTCCATAAAAGAATGTGTTACTAGAAACGATAGTCTTTCTTCACATGATGAGCAACATTACACCATGTCGGGAGGGCATTGCGCCTGGCAGAGCTTCAGAAGCGTTTCCGGCACTCCAGCTGCTGCCAGCGCCCCGTCAGCATCGTGCACCGTGATCCAACCCGCTCTCCAACCTCGTAGCCATGGAATGTTTAGGGCAGCTTAGGGTTAGGGTTCTGGGATTTCGATTAGGATGCGTAGCTGTAGATCTATTGCCTCAGCCGCCCGAGTAGCTTCTATGTCAGCAGAGCCCAAACGACCCCGTCAACGGGCGGCGTTCTGGTGGAGACTCTAGGATGCAGGGTCGTGTACGGTAGAAGCCAGAAAGTTGGAACATCATAATCCCGATGCCCTTAGGGTAAAGTAAAAGGGATCCTAGCACTAATCCTCCCAAAACCATGTTCCAAATTTCTGGGGTTTACTGTAGGGGATGCAGCGCAAAAACGAGAGCTGGTCTGCCTTGGGACCCACGCCAGAATGATAGACCATGCCATGGACAACTCCCTCGGAGCATCGGGCTAAACACCATCCCCCCCCATCTGTCGGAAAGTGTACAGCATTGTGCACATCGTGACCGAGGGCCCAGTACGCAAGAAACCAGATGAGAAAATCACAGGCATATGATGGGCAGTTGCGTACATCAGCGGCCGGCCATTCAGAGATAAGTGACATATGACATGCTGATCCCAGTGGATAGCCCGCAGCGCAACTGGCAATGGCCAACCAACTCTCAAACCAACACCCACACACACAAGTATCTGAACTACCAAACCCTGAAGCACTGGTAGACCTGGGCCCCCGAATCCTATGAAACCTTTAAACATCGCTGAAGGCAAGGGTTATATACAGTAACATGTATCCCTCCAAAATCCGGCTCTATTCCACCCAGCAGAACTGTAGCTCATAAGCCGTAGAATACCAATGGAACTAGCCATGGAATGCAACCTGCCCATAAACCGTATTAGAATAGTTGACCTGCAAGACCTCTTGCAACCACGTTCCAAGTAGAGGCCCTTTGTAGAAAACCTGTACAACCGGCTCCAAATATCGAAAATGTTCAGGCCCTTATCAGAAACCGCCCCCATCCTAAACCCTCAGCCCTTCATTGATTATTAGCCAGGCATTCATATTTGGGATACCAGCCCCTGTATCTAAATACTCGGGGCCTAAACCCTAACCCAGTCTCCAAACCTTCTATATGCGTCCGCGCTCCGCGTTCTCGACCCCCCCCCCCCCCCCCCCCCCCCCCCCCCCCCCCCCCCCCCCCCCCCCCCCCCCCCCCCAATGGTACCCCCCCCCCCCGACCCGGGCGACCACACAACAAGAACAAGAACAAGAACAAGAAGAAGAACAGCAGCAACAACAAAGCAGCAGCAACCACGCGGAGGAACCACAGGAACCACAGGGGGGGAGGGGGGAGACAGGAACCAGAAGAACCACAAAAGGGAGGGGGAAAACCAAGAGGAACCACAGGGGGGGGGGGGAACCACAGGAACCACAGGGGGGGGGAGGGGGATTACCATGGGGGGGGGGGGGGGGGGGGGTGCGCGGATGCTGGCGCACAAAAACCCTATAGGATACTCCGCCTGGAGCCAGCCAGCGCTTAGACAGGGCGCAGACCTGACGAAGGGCCGGAGAGAGTAATGCTCCTTTAGGTTTAGGGCCCAGGGTTTCGTGTTTAGAATTAGGTGGGGATATCAAGCTTTGACAGGGAATATTAACAAGGCCCAAGGATTCATGGTATAGGGCGGGGGTATAGGGTTGTACCAGCCAGATCGCGAAATATGGTGTCTTACCCCTTGAACACGGATCACCCGGTCTTGCATGGTCTCTGGACTTGTATAGGGGCTTGGGGGCCACAGAAACGAGGAAGATACCCTAAACTCGTGTAGAAGCAACATGATGGAATCATCGAAGGTGTTCTCAGTTGTGATGCAAGCTCAATCAGGGCTACTGGGTTCTCCGAAGCCGTGAACCATTATCCGGATCCCGACATGCTCTGAAACCCAAAACCATAAACCCTTACAGTACAATCCTTAAGACTACAAACCCAAAAAACAGAAGCCAATCACTTGTGGTGCTACTAATTCGCGTTGTTGTTGGTTGTTGCTGCTGCTGTTGCTGTCGTTGTCCTTATTGTCATTACCATTATTATTCGTTTACGTGTTTGCTCGTTGCTGCTTCTGTTTTGCCTTCCGAAATGACTCCTAACACGACTTCGAGAACTCAGAAAAGGAAACAGCATCGCTGGTAGACCTGACAAGATGATTGGCAGATCTAGGTCTGAAGCTTGAAACCCGCACAACTGGGAGGTTCCGAAAGGATTAAAATCCGAAACAAGAATAAAGTAGAAGCCAGAAAGTTGGAACATGACTTTAGGAGGATTAGTGCTAGGATCCCTTATACTTTACCTTGAGGCCATGAGGGTAATGATGTTCCAGCTTTCTGGCTTCTACTGTAGATTAA